GTTATAAATAAATTGGTGCATTAATAAAATAATATTATTTTGCGCGCACACACAGACATATATATTCATATACTATTATATATTCAGTTAATAAATGTTCTTTAACCAAGTCTTAGACCCTTATGATCTATATTACGCGGAAATTTTTGGTAGGTCAAGAGATAAGCTGCTTTAATTTTAATTGGTTTCTATTCAGTTGTCGCTCTCGTTCTCTGTTGATCACTCTCATCATTAATTCTACTGTTCTACTTCCGTAATACAGATTTACTCAATTAAGTTCCATGCTTTGAAAGTCTCTTATCTCAATTTAACTCCAAACCTCAAGTGGAATTCCTATATTCAATGTATTGCCAAATAAGCTCGGAGAACTGTAAAATCATTCTATTATTCAAGAAAGTTCTTAACTTTCTACCCTTCTTTCTACTCTTCAATATTCTGACTTGACAGGAAGTGACATATTGCTGCCACATCTGGAGTGAAGCTTCTTAATCCTCATCTTCCAGCGTTGAGAAATTACAAAATCGTTTTTGTAATCTTGTGTCTTATGATGTATGTTCCACTCTGCAACGAGACACAGGATTTCAAGCCAGTCCGACGCTAATTCTATGGCAAATTTTCCTATGGATGAGCAATAATTTTAATGTTATATAGAATTCTTCGATATCTCTATATTTCTGAGATGAGGTATTATGTACATTATTTACATTATTCGGTTTATTGTATTATGTACATTATTTACATTATTCGGATTATTGTCCTCATCTTTGTCGCTATCTTTATTACAACGTTTTGTACTCTCCGGCCTTCTTCAAGTGGTTGGAATGTCGAACTGAACCCTTTATTTCGCTCACTGGGGTAGACTGTTCTAGTTCCTCGTGCCATGTCTAATGGATGCCAGTTATCAGTTATCTCCGGTTAATTCCCCACTCCAGGTTCTCCTCTGCCTTTCCCGGGTATTGAACTCACATTCTTTGGTCACTGGATCTAACTAACGACTTTACCCGTTGTGCCAAGTGTCCTTGAGGACATCTGTGTATGAATGTCTGCGTATTATAAACCTAATGTCTTCAGCAACCTTATTTTTTACCACTGCTCATATTGCAATTTTTACTCTTATCATTAAATGTTTTTTTACCAGAGCTCATATTGCAATTTTTGTTTTTATTATCGCTTTTCTCTGGCTCTCTTTATTACTGGTTCCCATATTGTATTCATTTCTATGCTTGGTCGGCTCAGGAGATTTTTGTGGCCTAGCATGTGCTGATTCCTTAAGTTTACGAATTTTCCAATGATGTTCTTTGTCTATGATCTCAACCTGATCCCACAGAAGGCGCGGATCTTTCTTCTCTCTCCTTATGTGGCCATCCACGCCTGAAATATTTCTAAGATATTTGATATCATATTTTTTTATTAATGTACCTAAAATTTAAGCCTATGTTCTGCGGCAATGCATTTTTCCCGAATCTCTGAAAAAAAAAACGATGTACCTTATCGCAACTGTTTTAGGTGTTTCTTCACAATGAAGGGAATTTTCTATTGCTATAATTTTCGACATGCATAAATTATTTTTATCCATAAAGTTAACGCTATTACAACATAAAATAAAGAACTCTGTTTTTTTTTTAATTAATGATATATAAAATATTAAACGAATGTAAGAGGAAACAAAAAAATTAAAAAAACAATTTACTTTACTTAGAGGATATTGCATTGTTATGTTAAAATAAGACATGTTTGATTTTTCGTACCGAGTATTACATTATTTACATTAATCGAACTATTGTCCTCATCTTTGTCGCCATATTTATTACAACGTTTCGGCGGTGGTACGCTCCGGCCTTCTTCAGGTGGTTGGAATTTCGAACTGAACCCTTTATTTCAAGGTCACATGGCACAGTGGATAAAGGCGCTAGTTAGATCCAGTGACAGGACCCAATGAATGTGAGTTCAATACCAGGTTAAGGCAGTGGAGAACTTGGAGAGGGGAATTAACAGGAGATAACTGATAACTGACATCCATTAAACATGGCACGTGAAAATAGAACAGTCTACCCCAGTAATCGAAATAAAGGGTTCATTTCGACATTTCAACCACCTGAAGAAGGCCGGAACGTACAACGGCCGAAACGTTGTAATAAATATGGCGACAAAGATGAGGACAATAATCTTAATAATGTAAATAATGTACATAATATCTAGTCTCAGAAATATAAACAGATTCCGAGTATTAATTTATGTTATGATAAAAATGAAATTACAAAATGGGTGAAAAATTTATATACGTACTTAAATTGTTTTTATATTAAATAATGTATTTTGCAATACAATTTCTATGGAGGTACTGGAAACTATGCATGGACATAGCTTCGTTCTTTCAATCGTCATTATGATGAAAATAAACGAAAAATACTTTCCCCTTATTTTTCACACCTGTAAAAGACGTAAATTCATCGCCCCACGTACCAGTTATATTTATACAGTAGGGTTGTTTAGAAACCAAGATTTGCTTGGTATCATGTTTATGAAAATGAAAATTCCGAGGATGATTTGCTTTATGTTATTTTGCGCCTTGCTACGAAGTGATGGGAATCACTATATTTTGGTACTGACAATAAATATTATACTACTTAAAAAACAAGGTTATACTATGTTCTGATCATACCCATAACAATGTATACTTTTCAAATCTAAACACAACGAAAGGAGGACATATAAAAGATTTCAGTTTTCGTAATAGTTGCCTCAGATACATCGCTGGGAAAATAGAGGGACACAAAATATCTACCATGAAATTACACTGATTAGAAAAAGGAAGGTATACTGGTTTGACACAGAATATGAAAATAAATTGTGTGTATAGACTCTACGAGACAACATCCCTAGCAAAAATCATGTGGTGGCCTACCTCAGGAACTGGAAGGCCAAATCAAAGAGGACACCGGATTACCACTTCTGAAACTTGAAACAATTACCTTAAACTCCAAGAGATGGCAATTTATGCGGAGAAGAAAAACGCAAATATCTCAACGCAATTATGCAACTCAGTCAACACAAGTCTATGTTTTCTACACATATATCCTTGGTTTTGATTAAATGGAAAATACTGATATAACGTATGCATATAATAGGTTTGCAACTGTCTTTACCAAGGAAATTACTACACTTGGTGGATTTAATACACGTTAATGGCTGGCCTCTCTATCCGAGTATATCTGTCTACTAGGGTTGCTCGTTGGAGACTAATATTTATTGCAGTCGCCTGCTCAGACACATTTAAGTTTGTTCAACCCCCATAGAGCCTACCTGTGGTTTATCCAGCATATATGCTGAGCAGACCTTAGTTACTGTTTCTGGGAGAGAGTGCATTATCTGGCGTGATCAACAGTCTGGAAATGGAATACGCTCAACCTCTCAGTCACGATGACTTCGCACAGCTATCAACAGCTCCAAAACAGTGTTGTCAACCCAATTTCACTCACAAGGGTCACACCCTGGTATAGTTTTCAACCACTTTCCAAAAGTTTCGTACGTTGGAATCGCCTCTTGCGGTTATTAACATTAGCTTCCAAACTATTCGGCCATGGTGAGATTCGAAGCCTGGTCTCATGGTCAGAAAGCGAACGCTGTAAGCACTCGTCCACGCACCCGCAAATACACTGTAACCCACTGATACTTTACACGTTTTGGACGTTTTATATTGCATTGGATAATTGCTTTTAATTTAGAAGTTATACAAATATTCTGTTAAGTCATAATTATAACGCAGACAACCTTTGAAAAATCTACTGAAAGATACAGAAAAAATTTCAGTTTGTAGATATTATTATTATTATTATTATTATTATTATTATTATTATTGATATCGTCTCAGACTCTTAGATGCTTCAGCCGGGGGTTGATGATTGTATCTCAGGTCTTACCCAGAGCTCACACAATATTTTTCCCAGCACATGAGCTGTTCCAAGCAGCGCTGTTATCTTCTCATTCTTAATGATGTCCGGTATCGTTGATGGCGCCCTTTGAGGCAGAAATATTCCCGCAAATATTCTCAAGTGCGATGGCCACAAAACGGACAACATTAACAGATGCTTGTTATAATTCCCTGACTTTCTCTGCCAGGTCTTGGCACCTCAGAATTTTAGCCGGCGGTGCTATCACGATTTTCTTAGCCCAATGTATTATCATCGTTATTAATATACTAATTTAACTCCTTGCCGTTGTCTCGCATTTCATTTAAGAAGGATAAGGAAGAAACATACCTTTCAAATACACAGTCAATATACATTACAAAAATTATAAATCTAAAAGGAAAGCATAAATGTCCTCTGTTAATGCGACTGTGTCGATGAATTATTTACTGTGTAATTATTCTGAGGTTCAATCCTAGATAAAGTACAGGATAATCATTTATCATTAGTTGAAGATAGCGAAAAATTAGTATTTAATTGATAATGGTCTTTGTCAAAAGATCGCACACAAAATTATACTCTATTGATCTTTGCGACCAACAGAATTGAGCTGAAAAGTACTCAATATGCTTGTTGTTGCACATCTGAAGCAAGCATCTAAAACAATTGTTCTTTAAGGGCTAATGTAATTGTTTTTCTATTCAGAATATCTGCAGATGGGTTTGGTTTCCTTTGTTTTAGATCATATCAACATCAATGGATTATTTAATGCTGACGAGATTTTTAGAATAGATTAGATTAGAATAGAACATGTATTCATTGTAAGAAATCAGTTTCTAGATCATGTTTCATTGACCTATAAATGTAAAGACGTCTTTTGTCGATACTTAAATGTGTATCTGGTAACATTTCTTTTTTAAAATTTATTGGTAGTAATATATTTTTTTCAAAAATATACCACTGGTATTTCTAGAACAAAAATATATCTTGGGAATTTCATAATGTTTTGACCCCAGTTTGAGGGTTAGGTATTTGTCCATAACGAAGGCCCTAACAGGTGCTACCACCGCGGGTCAGGATGGACCTTGGAAG